CATCGCTGAGTCGATATTTTGACTGCTGTATCGAGAACTAACAATGTCCCCTGCGTCGCCCTCTTGACTTCTGTATCGAGAACTAACAATGCACCGCTGTGTCGATATTTTGACTGCTGTATTGAGAACTAACAATGCACCACTGCCCCACCCTCTAGACTGCTGTATCCAGAACTAACAATGCACCGCTGTGTCGTTATCTTGACCGCTGTATCGAGAGCTAACAATGAAGCGCTATGTCGATATTTTGACTGCTGTATCGAGAGCTGACAATAAACCGCTACGTCGCTATCTTTACCAGAAAGACACTATCATGGATACTGTTTGGTGCAACACGGTCCACCATGGATACCGTATGGTACAACAGGTCCTATCATGGATACTGTATGGTGCAACAGGATCTACCATGGATACTTTATGGTGTAACATGGTCTATCATGGATACTGTATGAGACAACAGGGCCTATCATGGATACTGTATGGTGCAACAGGGTCTACCGTGGATACTGTATGAGGCAACAGGGTCTACCATGGATACTGTATGACGGAACGGGGTCTATCATGGATATTGTTTGGTGCAACAGGGCCTACCTTGGATACCGTATGAGGCAACATGGTCTATCATGGATACTGTATGGTGCAACAGGGCCTACCATGGATACTGTATGTGGCAAAAGGGTCTATCATGGATACTGTGTGGTGCAACAGGGTCTATCATGGATACTGTATGATGCAACGGGTTCTATCATGGATACTGTATGAGGCAACAGGATGTATCATGGATACTGTAAGGTGCAACATGGCCTGCCATGGATACTGTATGGTGCAACAGGGTCTACCATGGATACTGTATGGTGCAACAGGGTCTACCATGGATACTGTATGGTGCAACGGGGTCTATCATGGATACTGTATGGTGCAACAGGGTCTATCATTGATACTGTGTGGTGCAACAAGGTCTATCATGGATACTGTATGGTGCAACAGGGTTTAACATGGATACTGTTGATGCAACAGGGCCTATCATGGATACTGTATGGTGCAACAGGGTCTACCATGGATACTGTATGATGCAACGGGGTGAGCCATGGATACTGTTGGTGCAACATGGCTTGTCATGGATACTGTATGGTGCAACAAGGTCTACAATGGATACTGTATGGTGCAACAGGGCCTATAATGGATACTGTGTGGTGCAACGGGTGTACCATGGATACTGTATGGTGCAACATGGCTTGTCATGGATACTGTATGATGCAACGGGGTGTACCAGGGATACTGTATGGTGCAACAGGATCTACCATGGATACTGTATGTGCAACATGGCTTGTCATGTATACTGTAAGATGCAACAGGATCTATCATGGGTACTGTATGGTGCAACAGGATCTACCATGGATATTGTACGGTGGAACATGGTCTATCATGGATATTGTTGGTGCAACAGGGTCTACCATTGATACTGTATGATGCAACATGGCTTGTCATGGATACTGTATGATGCAACATGGCTCGTCATGGATACTGTATGGTGCAACAGGATCTATCATGGATACTGTATGGCGCAACAGGGTCTACCATTGATACTGTATGGTGCAACAGGGTCTACCATGGATACTGTATGGTGCAACAGGGTCTACCATGGATACTGTATGGTGCAACAGGGTCTACTATTGATACTGTATGGTGCAACAGGGTCTACCATTGATACTGTATGGTGCAACAGGGTTTAACATGGATACTGTTGATGCAACAGGGCCTATCATGGATACTGTATGGTGCAACAGGGTCTACCATGGATACTGTATGATGCAACGGGGTGAGCCATGGATACTGTTGGTGCAACATGGCTTGTCATGGATACTGTATGGTGCAACAAGGTCTACAATGGATACTGTATGGTGCAACAGGGCCTATAATGGGTACTGTATGGTGCAACAGGATCTACCATGGATATTGTACGGTGGAACATGGTCTATCATGGATATTGTTGGTGCAACAGGGTCTACCATTGATACTGTATGATGCAACATGGCTTGTCATGGATACTGTATGATGCAACATGGCTCGTCATGGATACTGTATGGTGCAACAGGATCTATCATGGATACTGTATGGCGCAACAGGGTCTACCATTGATACTGTATGGTGCAACAGGGTCTACCATGGATACTGTATGGTGCAACAGGGTCTACCATGGATACTGTATGGTGCAACAGGGTCTACTTTTGATACTGTATGGTGCAACAGGGTCTACCATTGATACTGTATGGTGCAACAGGGTCTACCATGGATACTGTTGGTGCAACAGGGTCTATCATGGATACTGTGTGGTGCAACAGAGTCTATCATGGATACTCTATGATGCAACGGGGTCTATCATGGATACTGTATGGTGCAACATGGTCTATCGTGGATACTGTATGGTGCAACATGGTCTATCGTGGATACTGTATGATGCAACAGGATGTATCATGGATACTGTAAGGTGGAACATGGCCTGCAATGGATACTGTATGGTGCAACAGGGTCTACCAAGGATACTGTATGGTGCAACAGGGTCTACCATGGATACTGTATGGTGCAACAGGGTCTATCATGGATACTGTGTGGTGCAACAGGGTCTATCATGGATACTCTATGATGCAACGGGGTCTATCATGGATACTGTATGGTGCAACAGGGTCTATCGTGGATACTGTATGATGCAACAGGATGTATCATGGATACTGTAAGGTGCAACATGGCCTGCCATGGATACTGTATGATGCAACAGGGTCTACCATGGATACTGTATGATGCAACAGGGTCTATCATGGATAGTGTATGGTGTAACAGGGTCTATCATGGATACTGTGTTGTGCAACAGGGTCTACCATGGATACTGTATGGTGCAACAAGGTCTATCGTCGATACGGTACGATGCAAGAGGATGTATCATGGATACTGTATGATGCAACATGGCTTGTCGTGGATACTGTAAGGTGCAACATGGCCTGTTATGGATACTGTATGATGCAACGGGGTCTATCATGGATACTGCATGGTGCAACAGGGTCTACCATGGAAACTGTATGATGCAACATGGCCTGTCATGGATACTGTATGATGCAACATGGCTTGTCATGGATACTGTATGATGCAACATGGCTTGTCATGGATACTGTATGGTGCAACAGGGCCCTTCATGGATACTGTATGATGCAACGGGGTCTACCATGGATACTGTTGGTGCAACAGGGCCTCTCATGGATACTGTATGGTGCAACATGGTCTACCCTGGATACTGTTGGTGCAACATGGCTTTTGATGGATACTGTGTGGTGCAACAGGATCTATAATGGATACTGTATGATGCAACGGGGTTCACCATGGATACTGTTAGTGCAACATGGCTTGTCATGGATACTGTATGATGCAACAGGGTCTACAATGGATACTGTATGGTGCAACAGGGCCTATCATGAATACTGTTTGTGCAACGGGGTCTACCATGGATACTGTATGTGCAACATGGCATGTCATGGATACTGTAAGGTGCAACAGGATCTATCATGGATACTGTATGGTGCAACAGGATCTATCATGGATACTGTATGTTGCAACAGGATCTACCATGGATACTGTATGGTGGAACATGGTCTATCATGGATACTGTTGGTGCAACAGGGTCTACCATGGATACTGTATGATGCAACATGGCTTGTCATGGATACTGTATGATGCAACATGGCTCGTCATGGATACTGTATGGTGCAACAGGATCTATCATGGATACTGTATGGTGCAACAGGGTCTACCATTGATACTGTATGGTGCAACAGGGTCTACCATTGATACTGTATGGTGCAACAGGGTCTACCATGGATACTGTTGGTGCAACAGGGTCTATCATGGATACTGTGTGGTGCAACAGGGTCTATCATGGATACTCTATGATGCAACGGGGTCTATCATGGATACTGTATGGTGCAACAGGGTCTATCGTGGATACTGTATGATGCAACAGGATGTATCATGGATACTGTGAGGTGCAACATGGCCTGCCATGGATACTGTATGGTGCAACAGGGTCTATCATAGATACTGTATGGTGCAACGGGGTCTATCATGGATACTGTGTGGTGCAACAGGGTCTACCATGGATACTGTATGGTGCAACAGGGTCTATCATGGATACTGTTGATGCAACAGGGTCTACCATGGATAGTGTTTGATGCAACATGGCTTGTCCTGGATACTGTGTGGTGCAAGAGGGTCTATCATGGATACTGTTGGTGCAACAAGGTCTATCATTGATACTGTATGGTGCAACATGGTCTATCCTGGATACTGTATGGTGCAACAGGGTGTATCGTGGATACTGTATGGTGCAACAGGGTCTACCATGGATACTGGCTTGTGCTACATTGCTTGTCATGGATACTGTATGATGCAACAGGGTTTACCATGGATACTGTATGATGCAACATGGCTTGTCATGGATACTGTATGGTGCAACATGGTCTACCATGGATGTTGTATGACGCAACATGGCTTGTCATGGATACTGTATGGTGCAACAAGGTTTACCATCGATACTGTTGGTGCAACAGGGTCTAACATCGATACTGTATGATGCAACAGGATCTACCATGGTTACTGTATGATGCAACTGGGTCTATCAAGGATACTGTTGGTGCAACAGGGTCTACCATGGATACTGTATGGTGCAACAGGGTCTACAATGAATACTGTGTGGTGCAACAGGGTCTATCATGGATACTGTATGGTGCAACAGGGTCTATCATGGATACTGTATGATGCAACCGGGTCTACCATGGATACTGTATGTTGCAACATGGCCTGTCATGGATACTGTATGATCCAACATGGTCTTTCAGGGATACTGTATGGTGCAACAGGATCTACCATGGATACTGTATGGTGCAACAGGATCTACCATGGATACTGTGTGGTGCAACAGGGTCTACAATGGATATTGTGTGGTGCAACGGGGTCTACCATGGATACTGCATGGTGCAACAACCTCCATCACGGCTACTGCTGGTGCAACACCCTTCACCTTGTCTATCATGGATACTGTGTGGTGCAACATGGCCTGTCATGGATACTGTTGGTGCAACAGCCTCCATCACGTATACTGCTGGTGCAACAACCTCCATCACAGCCACTGTTAGTGCAACAACCTCCATCACGTTCACTGCTGGTGCAACAGCCTCCATCACGTCCACCGTTGGTGCAACAACCTCCATCACGTCCACCGTTGGTGCAACAACCTCCATCACGTCCACCGTTGGTGTAACAACCTCCATCACGTCTACTGCTAGTACAAAAACCTCCACAATGTCCAATGTTGGTGCAACAGCCTCCACCATGTCTACTGTTGGTGCAACAACCTCCACCATGTCCACTGTTGGTGCAACAACCTCCATCACTTTCCCTGATGGTGCAACAACCTCCATCACTTCTACTGCTGGTGCAACAACCTCCATCACTTCAACTGCTGGTGCAACAACCTCCATCACGTCTACCGTTGGTGCAACAGCCTCCATCACGTCCACCGTTGGTGCAACAACCTCCATCACGTGTACTGTTGGTGCAACAGCCTCAATCACTTCTACTGCTGGTGCAACAACCTCCATCACTTCTACTGCTGGTGCAACAGTCTCCATCACGTCTACCGTTGGTGCAACAACCTCCATCACGTCTACCGTTGGTGCAACAGCCTCAATCACTTCTACTGCTGGTGCAACAACCTCCATCACTTCTACTGCTGGTGCAACAACCTCCATCACTTCTACTGCTGGTGCAGCAACCTCCATCACGTCTACTGTTGGTGCAACAGCCTCCATCAAGTCTACTGCTGGTGCAACATCCTCCACCATGTCCACTGTTGGTGCAACATCCTCTAACATGTCTTCTGTTGGTGCAACAACCTCCACAATGTCCACTGTTGGTGCAACATCCTCTAACATGTCTTCTGTTGGTGCAACAACCTCCACCATGTCCACTGTTGGTGCAGCAACCTCCACCATGTCCTCTGTTGGTGCAAGAACCTCCACAATGTCCACTGTTGGTGCAACAACCTCCACAATGTCCACTGTTGGTGCAACAGCCTCCATCAAGTCTACTGCTGGTGCAACAACCTCCACAATGTCCACTGTTGGTGCAACAACCTCCATCACGTTCCCTGTTGGTGCAACATCCTCCACCATGTCCATTGTTGGTGCAACAACGTCCATCACGTCCACCGTTGGTGCAACAACCTCCATCACGTGTAATGTTGGTGCAACAGCCTCAATCACTTCTATTGCTGGTGCAACAACCTCCATCACTTCTACTGCTGGTGCAACAGCCTCCATCACGTCTACTGTTGGTGCAACAACCTCCACCACGTCCACCGTTGGTGCAAGAACCTCCATCACGTCTACTGTTGGTGCAACAGCCTCCATCAAGTCTACTGCCGGTGCAACAACCTCCACCATGACCACGGTTGGTGCAACAGCCTCCACCATATCCACCGTTGGTGCAACAACCTCCATCATGTCCACTGTTGGTGCAACAACCTCCACCATGTCCTCTGTTGGTGCAACAACCTCCACCATGTCCACTGTTGGTGCAACAACCTCCACCATGTCCACTGTTGGTGCAACAACCTCCACCATGTCCACTTTTGGTGCAACAACCTCCATCACGTCCTCTGTTGGTGCAACAACCTCCACCATGTCCACTGTTGGTGCAACAACCTCCACCATGTCCTCTGTTGGTGCAAGAACCTCCACCATGTCCACTGTTGGTGCAACAACCTCCACCATGTCCTCTGTTGGTGCAACAACCTCCACTTTGTCCACTGTTGGTGCAGCAACCTCCACCATGTCCACTGCTGGTGCAACAACCTCCACCATGACCACTGTTGGTGCAACAACCTCCACCATGTCTACTGTTGGTGCAACAACCTCCACCATGTCTACTGTTGGTGCAACAGCCTCCACCATGTCTACTGTTGGTGCAACAACCTCCATCATGTCTACTGTTGGTGCAACAACCTCCATCATGTCTACTGTTGGTGCAACAACCTCCACCATGTCTACTGTTGGTGCAACAACCTCCATCATGTCTACTGTTGGTGCAACAACCTCCATCATGTCTACTGCTGGTGCAACAACCTCCACAATGTCTACTGCTGGTGCAACAACCTCCACCATGTCTACTGTTGGTGCAACAACCTCCACCATGTCCACTGTTGGTGCAACAACCTCCATCATGTCTACTGTTGGTGCAACAACCTCCATCATGTCTACTGTTGGTGCAACAACCTCCATCATGTCTACTGTTGGTGCAACAGCCTCCATCACGTCCACTGTTGGTGCAACAACCTCTTTCATGTCCACTGTTGGAGCAGCAATCTCTATCATGTCCACACACACACACACACACACACACACACACACACACACACACACACACACACACACACACACACACACACACACACACACACACACACACACACACAAACATATTGCGATTTCAACAACTCAAGTAATCATGTTCGAAAGACAGTGTGTCGGCTGCTGCTTCTGGGGACAGAGATAGGTTCAGCAATACAAATAACATTACCGACAAGAAGGGTGCATTACATTGACAAGCAGTATCTAATTGTCTAGAAACTGCCCATCACAAGTCAACCACAAGCCTCCTTCGCGGTAGTAATTGTCCTAAAGTCCGGTCTAGACCTGCTCCATTCCGTAATATGGAATATTTAGAGGTAGATATTAAGTTTGGATCAAATGGCAATTGTCTGGGAGGATAACCATGATTGATACTGTCTGGTCACACGTTGTGTGGGAACTGGTCCACGCCACTCATCGAGCAGATCGAACTGATCGTCTGGCTTGTCAGTACCCTCCAACTGACATGTATTGGAGTACTCTCCCCTGAGTCAATGTCAGATTACATTTCCCGGTGCATTAGAGTTCTTTAAAAAACGAAACTGACCATGTCTCCTTTCAAGGAGTGTTATTCTCTTGAAACACATGTAGAGATCCGTAGCGTTACAATGCACGATGTTATATATTATACAGTACGAAACTAGCACAGATCCATTTGTTCAGTGACTGGAAGTTAACCGTGTATAGACGTTTATGGTAAGACCGTGTGAGCATTGGGGTGTTATAGCCACAGGCTCCTCCTATGACCAGCCTAAGGCGGAGCAAAAGCAGAGTTTGTTAGAAAGCCAATTTAAAGTTGTAAAATTCGAATCGACATCAAGGGAATTTCAATAATGCTGCGCGGCCTCTGTTGCTGAGTTTTTCACCCGATAACATCTCCTCGTCTCCAGGATCAGGCCTTCAGCAATTTGAAGCACATGCAGAGCGCTTGCCAGAAAACCGCGTGGGGTTTCGTTTCAACGAGATCTATTTCTCGTTCTTTAACCCAGTTTCAGCCAATAGCAGATAAGTATTCGTGCTAAATACATTTTGCCTCATTTATATAATGTCGGACATTCTAGTGGAGAAATTGATATATATATATATAAATTTTACACATCCGTCGCCAAGAATATTAAAATAGTTACTGCAGTAGTAAAGCTGTATTGAGCAGCGATGTAACGGGTAGAGTGAATGAACGACTGAGTTGGGTATTTCTGTTCCATCACGGCGGGTCCAGTGTGAAGTATATCGTGGCTATTTACCACTTCACGTGTTTGGTCATGACAAACCAAGGGTCGTAAAACAGGCGAATGTGTGGTACGAATATACGACAGCAGTTTTCTGCAGTGCGAATCACATAGTCTCAGATTATTATGCTACATGCATCACATACAGTCGTGACACTGAGAGATATATTGTGTCGCGATATGATGTTGTACTGTGTACATATATACTCTTCGACAGATTCAGAACTTGTGATCAATTTTTTTGTCATATGCAGGAAACACACTGGCTATTGTTTAGTCTAGCAGAATGAGTATAAAAAACAAAAACAAGTTACGATTGCTCGCAAAATCAGTTCAAATAATCTTGGTTATACGCATAAGGGATATTGAGGTGGGCCAGACTATTAGAGACGGTAGAAATATCCGTACAAGATAGAACGGATCGGTACTACTACTGCTCCAGATCCTGCATTACTTGTAAAGGCTGTTAACACGTGGAACCACACGGTATAAGCGGCGGCATCAGGGAAGCAGGCAACACGTTCAGTGGAGGGCAACAAACTGGAGCACATGTAAGTGCGCACAAAAGTTGAGGATGCACGTCACCACACTGCCGATTGTCATACAATCAGTAAGACGACACAGTCCTACACGTGGCTTGTAGAAGGATTTTAACCAAATAAGCACTATGTTGAGGTTCATTATTCGAAACTACCATGACAGTTTTTCCACGTCACGTGATCAGTGACGTCAGTTCATGAAGGAGACAGTCGGGTGAAAGTGGGTCTTCCAACCAGACATTGTATTTTCTGCTGTTACTACATCATTGATTTTCTGTGCAAAAAGACCCTCATCTCGCACACCGTGGAGCCTTTGAATGCTGAATTAATAGTGCGGGCTGCGTTTAAAGAGGGGATATATCTTTCTGTATGAATGCATTACGTGGGCAGAAGATGTACGTAAATATTAAGAGAAAAACAGTATGGAGAAAGTGGAGAGAAAAGTAAACGCTATTATATACAGTGTGCGGTCTGCTTATCATTTATAAAAGACAGGTAAATGCACGGTGTGTACCTTGTGAGACTGAACGTGGGAAATAGTTTCTGTTGAGAAGACATTGTTTTCATTTTTTCAAATAAAGACTTTTTCTATTAGAACGGTAACATTTCCCACCAAACGAGAATAATATGAACACCAGATAAGCTATTATCGTGGTCTCCAACTGGTAGGAACTATGTTGAAGTGATACAACTACTTATCAGCCGTAAGAACATGTATGTGCATTTCTTCATGTGTAATATTTACGATAAAAGTATCATATAGATTAGAAAAGATAAATTAAAATGGTTCTTTTGATACTGCTCTCAGCCTGACAATATACATTGTTAACTAACGTGGCTGTGCTGAAACCGTGACCCCTATTGTAGACAGCTTACATTAAGGTCACAGCTGTGTGATTCTGACCTGTAACAATGTCTGACCAAAGGCAATCAATCTATTTCCAACCAGCTCCATGTCTATGCCGGAAGCACTAGAGCGGAAACGAGGTTTCATCGAGATGTGACTGTCCTATCAACTAGCTTTCATCTATGCGCTCACGGAAGTCAATTTACTTCGCTTTAATGGCAAAACTATCTGCTACTCTCAATGTGATTAACATTTTGTAAATGTGGTAATATTTCTCGGAAATTTATGACAATCCACTGAGGGCGAGATGGTCTTCGAGCTCGTATCAATAATAAATATTTGATGGAAGGGGAGATCAAGTTCGCCGACCCACAATCCCTTGGGAAGACCAGACGCCGTAACCGGAAGTACAAAACCAAAGGAGGCAGGTGATTGGTGGAAATAACCTTGCTTGTCACTGAACCTGTCTGCGGCAGTGTTACTAAATTGCATTAACGTGAAATTAATTCATTAAGTGATTTTTCTTGAAATATTATCCGGAATATAGAAAGAGTTAAACATATTCCATTCATCTCGTCCAGCTCATATTGCCTTTGTGAGTCTAAGGGGCATTCGTTTGAACCTATGGTCAATTATTCTCCCATCACCTCATCGTTTATCTATCTCCTATTTAGGCACTACCTCGTAAGCATGTGTTAATCGCTAACCAACATCATCGCATGCATCAACAGCTGCACGATCACCAGCACCAGCACCAAAAAGATAAATTATGTAACACATTTATTTATTTGAAATCTATTTCCTCACTTTATCAATGTCGTATGGCGTACCGCAGTGTTGTGGGTGTGAATATCAACACATCATGATCCTTGCTCACATGTTCAACATTCCGCTAAAAGTTTAAAACTTTTTTGTTGTTTTATAAATATCGATATCAGTAAATAGTTTACATGACCTGCTGTATTTGAACCTACAGTTTAACCTCCGTACATCCCACTATAAACTGGCCCACTCTTTGTCGGCTCCATGTCATTGTATTTCGGTCGCCAGGACACTACACGGCAGTGATGACAGCCTCCAACTCAGTACATTACACGGCAGTGATGACAGCCTCCAACTCAGTACACTACATGGCAGTGATGACAACCTCCAACTCAGTACACTACACGGCAGTGATGACAGCCTCCAACTCAGTACACTACATGGCAGTGAAGACAGCCTCCAACTCAGTACACTACACGGCAGCGATGACAGCCTCCAATTCAGTACACTACACGGCAGTGATGACAGCCTCCAACTCAGTACTCTACATGGCAGTGAATACAGCCTCCAACTCAGTACACTACATGGCAGTGATGACAGCCTCCAACCCAGTACACTACATGGCAGTGATGACAGCCTCCAACCCAGTACACTACATGGCAGTGATGACAGCCTCCAACCCAGTACACTACATGGCAGTGATGACAGCCTCCAACTCAGTACACTACCTGGCAGTGATGACAGCCTCCAACTCAGTACACTAAATGCCAGTGAAGACAGCCTTCAACTCAGTACACTACATGGCAGTGATGACAGCCTCCAACTCAGTACACTACCTGGCAGTGATGACAGCCTCCAACTCAGTACACTACACGGCAGTGATGACAGCCTCCAACTCAGTACACTACACGGCAGTGCTGACAGCCTCCATCTCAGTACACTACACGGCAGTGCTGACAGCCTCCAACTCAGTACACTACATGGCAGTGATGACAGCCTCCAACTCAGTAACTACCTGGCAGTGATGACAGCCTCCAACTCAGTACAGTACATGGCAGTGATGACAGCCTCCAACTCAGTACATTACACGGCAGTGATGACAGCCTCCAACTCAGTACAGTACCTGGCAGTGATGACAGCCTCCAACTCAACTCTGGTGACAAGACAGATCTATGGTGTGATGTAGGTGTGGTCTGGTGAGAAGACAGATCTATGGTGTGGTGTAGGTGTGGTCTGGTGACAAGGCACATATATGGTCTGGTGTAGGTGTGGTCTGATGAGAAGACAGATCTATGGTGTGATGTAGGTATGGTCTGGTGACAAGACAGATCTATGGTGTGGTGTAGTTGCGGTCAGGTGACAAGACAGATCTATGGTGTGGTGTAGGTGTGGTCTGGTGACAAGACAGATCTATGGTGTGATGTAGGTGTGGTCTGGTGACAAGACAGCTCTATGGTGTGGTGTAGGTGTGGTCTGGTGACAAGACAGATCTATGGTGTGGTGTAGGTGTGGTCTGGTGACAAGACAGATCTATGGTGTGGTGTAGTTGCGGTCTGGTGACAAGACAGATCTATGGTGTGGTGTAGG